GAAAGTCACACATGTCCCCAGAATGTGTCTGTCCAATTTTCAAAACACTGCAAAGATGGTTGATTTCACTGTAATTCTATAACTCCTGGTTTTAGCCCTGTTTTAAATGGGTTGTTTCAGTTGAGTTGGTCCTACCTCCTTCGGGAAGAAGACTTGAAAAATAAAATTCAGTATGTGTGAGCACAGAGAGCAAGAAAGAAGCAAACAGAAGTCAACCCTGGTGGAGTTCAGGTTGCACTAAAGCACAACAGGTCAAATGAAAATACAGTAACCCACATACAGTCCTTGATTATTGGTTTTAAATCAGCCTTAAAGTTTCCACCGTCTCCAAATGTCCTTCATCTTTAAGGTTTCTGTAAAACTCAGATCTAGGGGCATATGATCAAAGCTAAAGCTCACTTTAGCACATCAGCTGCAAAATGTGGTAACCTGATTTTGCTATTGTTGTGGTGGCATTACCATCAGTGATGAAGGTAATCCACTGGGTCTTCAATTCCTCAGATGCTGGAAGTGCATGAATACTTGTGTTCACTCTTGCAGCCAACAGCAGAGCATTTGGCGTGTTTTGCTCGTGGCTGAGACGTTCTAGAGTTAGCAGAAGCAACTCCAGAAAACAAATGAACCTTGTGGAGTTCGAGGCAGCTGCTCAGTCTGCATAGCTCACCTCACAAGCAGGATGCAGTGAGGGAGCAGGATTATACAAAGTTACAACCAGGTGACTAGTTCCTCAGCTGGGACACAGCAGTTCAGTAAAATTGTTACAGGCTTGTAAAGCTGGGAGGCTATCTAGTTGTGGGGGGGGCTTGAGTAATGGCAGAAGTAAACATCTTCATATCTTAACAGCTTTTACGTTACACCTCCAAGGTTATAACAAACACAAAATACAATAAAATGGATTGTGGGGCCTTTTTTATGGGCCCTTAAACTCAATCTGCAGGGACTTACACCACATGGGTTTGGGAAGTGTCTCAGAAACTGACATCATCAATTAGCATTAATTTATTACCATAACTGAGTTACATATTGAGGACATGTGGTGGATATAAAGATTAAGCATGACTAAAGGGCATTCTTCAAGAAAATGGGAGCGCATATGATAAATTCTGGGGGTAAAAGAGAATTGTGACACCTTGACTTTTCCCTATCTTTGATAAATTTGGATTCCCCATTGCAGCAACACAGGTCTCAGACTATTTGTCTTTGACACCTTATTCGATATTGATTGTTCATATTTGATATCTGCTAATCCAGTCTGAGCAGCACAGTTTGCTGATTGGAAACAAACATGACTTCATTCTGGTTGGAGAGACCAAATCTTAACAGACATTGACTGCCTTTTTTGAGCAATTTAGATCAGACTCCTACTGTTATTACCGATATATCTGCACGAGCAGCTTCAAGTACACTTTTTTTCTGTTTCGCATTATTTGATAGTACAGTGAAGAGCGACTGGAATACTGGGAAAGAAAGTAGTAGAATGGCACACAGCACATCTACTGTTCACAATGCACATGTCCATAGGCTACGGGTTGCCACATCATTCATTTATCCCCCTCTACACCCTGCAATGTTAAAATAAATAAAACAAGAGAAGTCCTCATTTGAACATAGTAAATAACATCACTTCTGTGATGTAAACGCAGTCTGGCTGTAAGACACGATATTTGGAACGAGATCAGTGGATGAATAACCAGAGAGAGAGAGAGAGCAGATTCAGCATTGATGTTTTATTAGAAAAAGAAACCAAATGGAAAGAAAGAAATAAAGGAAGAAAGAAACAGAGTGTTAAAGCCAGAGTGGTGACAGCCCAGCAGTCAGCTTTTTGCCGTCTATGCCTGAAATCGTGTGTGCTGGAGGTGGCAAACAAAAAAACAAAAAAAAACAAACAGTATCATGTACAGTTTAACTGCCTGGTGTGTCTGGTCTGGTGAGAGCTAGATCACTGATAGCTGTCTCTTCACAAATGTTTCAACTGCAGAGACCTACTATTTCCACAGTACTCGGCGGCGGCACCCACCACTGATCCCCTGGGCTGAGAGGAAGAGCTTGGAAACTGTCGACCTTGTTTGTTTGAAATCAGCTGTTTGAAGTATTCATTGATTTAAGACATGATTTTCTTTTTTCTGCTTTTATCTGTTGAGTTTGACTTGAATATATTCGATGCAGAACAAACACACGATGAGGTACAAGTGTGAGTTTGACAAAAAGGCTACAATGCAAAAGCTATGCAATGTTTGGAACAAAAACCTAGAAGAAACCGTATTTGTCAAGTGCCGTGTCGAATTCTCGATTCGCCGCTATCCTCTTATTTTGCAGTGTATTAGGGCAGAAAATAAAGTCATTTGTCATTGTTGAGATGCAATATGTACAGAGATTTCTGGCGTACAGCTGAAGGAGAGATGAAGGCAGAGAAAACATAAATATTTCATTCTCACATACAGTATCAGACTGTATTATGACACAATCCCTATGCAAGTATCGCCACCATGCTCGAGTTGTATTACAACAAAACAACTCATGTAAATCCATAAAAATATATTTTCCTTTTTTCCCTAATAGTTCTTCTGATATAACGGATGTATATTTTCCTATTCCCAGGGGCGGCAGGTAAGCAGATGTGCCAAAACAGGATGTAGTGTATAATAGATTAACAAAAAAAACAAACAATTAGTCGAATTGATTGAAGTGCAAACCCTGTAAGTTTGGAAAGTCGTGTTGGATTTCAATCTCTAGCTGACTCACATCTGGTGAGAAGACACGTAACAAAATGCACTGAGGCAACGTAAATGCAACACAAATGCTACACTCTCGAAACGTCAGATGGCATTGTTTCCCCTCCCCAACAGCAGAGCAATCACACTGGCCCGTCCTCTCTGGAGGCCTACTACGTGTTTGTCATTGCGTGGGCTGCGGTCATAAACACTGGCATTGTTTCAGGGGCCTCTGTGGCCCCGTGAAAAGAACATTTTGGAATTAAAAAAAAAAAAAAAAAACACTATCAGACGATGAAAAAAGCAGTGAATAACTAATGGTGCTGGAGCGATCACTCTGAGCTGACCCTGTGTATGTAACAATGTATGTGCGTGCGTTTTTTTCTATGTGTGTGTCCGTGTGAGTGCCAGATGGACATTCAGTGTTGAGTAGGACACACAAAAGACTGTGGCATATTAATATTCTCAAGTTATCAAAAAACAGCCATATAACAGAATTTATGCCATGGCCTCTGACAATCAGTGATCAATGTCTTCTATAGCTCTCTATAGACGTATAGATATATATTTTATTTGTATTATATATAATATGTAGATTTATAAAAAAGATTTTATCTTAATTACAAGTAGTGGCATTTTCTTTTATATTCATTATTGCAATGAATTGTTATCTAAGATGATTAAAAAAGACAGGTGAGTTCTGTTTTGCTACGCAGTTATTTACAACAGTTTTAAAAAGCAAGCTTTCTGATATGGTACCTTCCCCCAGCCACTGGAAAAAGACTGAGGATCTCAAATGACAACCAAACCGCCCATTAGAGTCTACACTTTGAGAGAAATTGGAAAATATACCAGTAGGCCTTTATAGATTAAGTTAAAGGAAACGCACACATCATAGACCAGTGTTGGTTTTTTTCAGTCTTATCACAGCTCGTGAAACAAATGATTTGCTACTTGAGGCATCCCACTGTGGGCAAACCTGCAAGGAAAGGTGAACTCTGATTTCTCTTTTCGGTTCCAAGGCTATTTATATTAATTATTCACGAGGACCTGGAGACTGGATTTGTTCCCGAAGTTGAAAGGTTTTATCCCGCATGTTTAAAATGCTGTATTTACTCCCATTTCCTCCATCACTTATTTCTTCTCTGAGGTCCCAGTGTTCAGGTTGAGAAGCACTTTGTTAGGGAGCCATTTGAGATCTGTCCATGTGTTTTATTTTTTTTTCTTCTTCTTTTTTCATCACTGAATATACAGCTTAAACCTCATCTTCGCCACTCCGCGAAAAGTAACCATCACTTTGCTATTTAGCATTTCTACTGTTATGGTGATGCTGATGATGAAGGACTTCATTAATTACTATGTTGTTTTTTTTTCTTTTACAAACCCCTGTGTATTCTGTGGCTGAGATCAGCCACGCGTGTTTCGAGGTTACTTCTGTTCTACATTGGCTGATTAGCTCGCTGGTTCGGGGCGAGAAAATCATTCTAGATGCGTAGTAAGAAAGCATTTTCATTCGTTTGAACAGTCCATGGCAAAGTAGCGGGTTTGCACAGTCCAAACGTTCAAGCTTACAGTTTTCTGGTCTTCTAAGAGTTATAATACCTGGCACTCAGTCTTTGCAGGCAAGTTAAGATGATGGCGACCATGATGATGATGATGATGAAAACAATGTTTGAAGTCTCAGTAAGGCGTTGTCAAGGGGGTGTGGCTTATTCGCCAACGTAGTCCAATGAAGACAGAGTGGGAACAGAGTTGTTTGGTTGTCTTTTTTTTTTCTTTTTCTTTTTTTTTCTTCTCCATCAGATATGATCATCATCTTTATCACTATCATCATCATGATCTGTTTTGTGGTTTGTCTTCACAGCTCATTGTTCATTTCGTGTAAATCTGTGCTGGCTTCCTCGTTGGTTCAACGATATCACGATGGCGTCCTCCCAAAAAAAAAAAATTTAAAAATGAATGCCGCAGGCAAGTGTGACGTCATAGTTGTCCGTTGTTCTTTTTCTACACTCCACAGCTGGATTTCATTAGTCTCTTGTAAAATAAGTCAGTGGCAGCAGGAGAGTGAAATGATGATGCGGAGTGTGTGTGTGTTTGTGTATTTCAAGTGTGTAAAAATGTGTGTCTCTGTATTGTATTCATATTGAAGTTTCTGTAATCTATACTTGCGTGTGTGAATATGTTATGGTGAATATGGAATCATGTGTGTGTTTGTGTGTGTGTGTGTGTGTTCTTGTCAAAGTCTGTATGTTTGTGTGTCGTTTAAGGCACGGCAGGTGTTTTTGGTTTTCAGGGCAGTCCAGAGGAGACCACTGCAAGGCCGGGGTGTTGGAGGGAGGCGTGGCCAGCATGCACGGCTTTGGGGCAGTCTGGCGTCAGGACGCGGCCATTCTCCCCCACACTTCCTGTGATGGACAGACGGGCCTTGTTCCGCATGGCTTCAGAGAAAGACAGCTAGAGGAGGAGAGACGGACAGGAGGACAGGGTGGAGATAGCAAAGTGGAGGTTGAATAAAAAGATTAATCTCATAGAAACTGCACAACAAATGCAACCACTCGGATTAAGATAGAAACTTCTATACGAACACATGCACAAAAAAACACTTAGACATGCATGTGCCTGAACACACACTTCACACAGGTAAGCTAACAAATAAAAACGACTGAGGGCGCAATCACACAGATAGTACAACAATACTGAGAACGTTTCTGTGGCTGTTTTAAGGTTCATATTACTGTGTAAGCAAACTAGTTCTGAAGCAATCAATGAATCAATTAATTGATTATTAAGGCATCATCATCACTGATGATTGAAATCAGGCAAGAAAATTGCAAAATTCTGCTTTTTCCAGCTTCCAAAACTGAGGATTTATTCATATATTTCTCTGTAATAAATATATATTATTACTATTATTGAATACCTGTCCTTGTCCGTTGTTAAGACTGTTCATCTGACAGAACAAACAATCTGTAGACTCTGGGAAAACTGTAATCAGGATTCCTTTTCTATTTTTGAACATTTTATCAAAAAAATATTTATTTATTACTCAAAAAGGTAATCAGCAGATAAATTAATGAATATTGTCAGATGCAGCTGTAAAACAAATGTATTTATATATAAAAGCTACATGGACCGTTTCTTGCTTATTGGAATATGCCAAACTGTAAAATTTAAAATTTGAAAGGTGACCTGTGGAGTTTTCTTGTAATCAAACAAAAGTTATGCTTATATTTAGCATATTTTATCAAAAATCATTGGGTGTATGCTTGAGGTGTTACAAATTTGTCAGCTTGCAAAGTGTAATACAGAGTGCAGGGAGGGGTTCGTCGATCGTTGATAGATCTCGGTAGGTGCATGTTGTTCTTTTGTGGGTGTGTTCCGGGTATGTGGAGGGTGTTAATCTTCTGCAGTTTGCACCCTGATTTTAAGTCGACAATCAATACTGTGTACATGACTGTGTTTAACAAGGCAGCCAGCTCAAAGCAAAGGATTGTAGTCACAGATATTAAATACTCGTAGCACTTTCATAAGAGCTTGAAGAGATAAGAGATATGAGATTGAAGGTATTATAGCCTGTTGTTTGTTGGACAAACAGGCCGACCTACAGCATTTAACAGTAAAATTGTTATAACTACTGGACTGTACTTTTGCTACTAGATTAGTATTTATTGCACAAATTAGGGTGCATTTTTTATTTGTCACTTCTTTTTTGATTGTGATATCTGTGATCCTGTTCTGATCTGATTTGGGGACACCTCAGTGATTTCAGTAAGGTATGAAATGTAAATGTAATTTAATGCAAACAAAAAAAGTGTCCCACAATATTGTAATTTACATTGTACTTGCTGGCAGTTTTCTTCTTCCAAGCCTTTGTTGTTACATCAAAGGATGTGAATTGTTGCACCATCCCGCATACTTATGAGGGTCTATGTGTTTTCTTGTGCAAAATACAAACAAAATCGGGTCCTGCTTTAAAAAACACTGATCAATAGTCAAAAACTCCACAGGGAACCTTTAAATTTAGTTTCTCTACACCAAAGTCACTTTGTTATTTAAAATGAATATGTTAATGATCTATGTATTTTTCATGTGCAACTTTGAATAGCAGAAATGCTCCAGACTTGACTTGAGTTACTTAAAACAGACATGGTGTGAATGCACCCTAAACTACACATTCACATTTGTTGCTGAAAGGCTACCACACTGCGCAAACGCTACAACGACATACAGAACTTGTACCAAAGGCAAAGCAGGCAACAATCACCAAACGTGTACATAGTAGACAAGAGGTTTTGGGTTGTAGACATCTGCATTTCAAAGGTGACCATGCATTTTGTTTGGGTTCTGGGTTTCAGTAATCTGACAGATTCGGGTGTGGATTTTTAAAGGATAGGATCGGGAAGGTGAGGACTTTGGAAAGACAAAAGGAAAACGAGGAGGTAGTGATTTTTCTTTCAAGGTTTCAGATTTATAGAGAGGGAGTGACTGACTATACTGCTCAGAGTCGGGTGACACTTCACACAGACAGGCTACTCTGTGATGTTTGTGCTGAAACAGAGATGTGAGGTTTTCACATCTCTGACAGCCAAAAAGCTTCAGTTTTACACTGATGTAGATACATGGGAACATTAATGAGTTCAGTGGGTGTTGTCGGTGCTGTGATTGGGAAACTGCTTAAAATATCACTGTTTGAACACATGAATTAAAGGACAGAATCTGAAAATAATACTATGCACAAAGTTTTTGCATTCCCAAACAGAACAGCCAACAGTGCTCGGTTATAAACTACCAGGAAGAGAGACAAAAGTTTCGCCCTTTCGTTTAATGGGTGCTGTCATGCTGACTTAAAAACTAAAGAGGAGACATAGGATATTCAAGGAAGCTATAATTTTTTAGATGTTTTGGATGGTATTATCTCAATTTGAAACTTCTTTCTGGTGATGGATAGCAGACTAGAACCATGAAGGGGATAGCTGTTAACATCAGAGTTATTGCTTCTGAGCGCGGTCCAAAACGCTCTACTCTTAAAACTGTTTATCTTCGGCTTTACAACGCCTTTAAAATTGGAATTATATGGTAATAGCCAATATTTAGTGTCTTGCATTTAGCTGTCTTTATGCTCTTTATTTTTGAATCCTGTGTATTGATCCTGCCAGTTATCTCAAGGTGATCATCAAATATGACGCACGCCTCTGAGAGGTTGGCTGAGCGGACCAATAAAATGAAGGTTAGTGTTTCCTTTCACTTCACTTAATTGCACTTTTACATCAATAAACATGAGTCATGTTTTCGCAACAACATCACTAAGTAGCTGTTCTATATGAAGTGTTTGCTTCATCAATTATTCCTCTGCATCACCACTAAGTGAGTAACTGGGCTGTTTTGAAGTTGTCAGGGCTGAAATACGTCAAAGTGCCTGTTTGGAGCGTCTGCAGCAGGGACGCACAACTCCAGTTTATGGATGACAAGATAAAGATACGGTACGGCGATGATAAACGGAACATTTTTACACCCTGGTTGGTTGTTGGTAAATTAAATCCACGTGTGTGTGTAGTAAAAACCTCTCGTATTGCTGTGCATTTAGATTAGAATAAAACTCTCTGTAAATGCAGATCTATGACCACAATTAAGTATATTTAAACGTAAGTGCTACCCTTTGAATTACCCAATCAACCGATTAAGAAGAAAACAAGATTAGGAGTTATTATAAATAAGCGGCTTCAAAAATAATTCTAATAAACTAATCGTACTGCAAATCAGTCAGCAAATATCTAAGTTGACTAATATCTATAGGCGAAAATAAAAAGTAATTAAAAACTGCTGCTGGGTAAAAATTCACCTTGCTTTTTCATTTGTTCCCCAAAGAATTCGTACTTTGCTGATTACGGGCCAAGAACGAATGAATGGACGAGATTAAATCAGTATTTCAAGGCGAATGCTGTGCAGCAGAAACTTTGCTCAAGCTGTCAGAAGACCAGACTCACCCTAAATTAGTTTGAATTGGCTCAGTGCGAACTGGCCTTAACTGGCACCGAACAAACAGCAAACTCTGTGCATTCGTGCCCGTTTCACAAACTACTTCACCCATATGTTTTTCTGGCACTGCAGTGGCGCCAGAGGGATAACTGAAAAGTCTAGTTAGAAGAAATTGTGGTGAAAAGTCTGGACGTTCCCTTGACATAAAAATATCTTAATAATGTTTTTATTTTTTTTTTTTTTACTCAGGTATCTGTCATATTATGGGTAAAAATGTTAACTCAGACCCAAATCCATGATAATTGGTGTCCACGCAGTAACTAATTAATTTGTAGCTAGAAGGAGATTTTAATGAGGAGCACCACACTAACAAACTCTTGCTCTTAGGATAGTGAAACACCAAAATAAACTATCCCTACAACCTTATATTAGTTTAACCAAGAAAACACGGAAATATCAGTCTGTGAAAAGTAGTTTTCAGGTTTTAGTATTAATAAACTTTAAACTTTTATGATGTATGTTTGTCACTGTAAGAACGTATTCATTAGGATGCCCCCACTTTCCCATTGTCATGTTGTTGGCATATGTACAGTACTTCAACTAATGTGATTTGTGAATCGGGGCATTAATTGGTTGACAAAAAAACTAACTTGTGACTATTTTGATCATTGATGAAATAATTAATCTACATTCTGCTTCTCATTGTGAGGATTTGTTGCTCTTCTCTTACTTAAGAAAACAAAAACCAGACGTTTTGGAGTTTTGCACTGTTGCTCAGAAAAAAACGAAGTTGTTACTTTAGTGTTTTGAATATTTTATGGGAAAAACCATGAAACCAATTCCCAGATTAATCGACAATGTTCAATAAATTAAACATGTATTTGATGCAATGATGGAGTTGTGCATCCCTGCGTCATCGATATGTTGTTAACAGTTACCTAAAGTTACAATGCAGGTGCCTTGTCAAGTCATGAGCCAAGAGCATCACCATCACTGTCATCATCATCATCATCATCATCATCATCATCATCACCATCATCATCATCTGCAGCCAAAGACGATGGAACCAAACCTGTAGTTCTAACCCCAATCTAGCCCGGGGTGACATAACCATAACGAAACACAAACTGAATTTAAAAACCCCAAAAATCTAAGAAAAAAAAAAAAAGAAACATTAGGCCAATAAATAAACAAAACAGCCAAAAATAAGCTTTCACAGAACATAAAAAAAGGTACATTGGTTCCACAATGCTTGACCACATCCTCATCACCACATGAAGAACAACACGATTGCGTGGGGGCTGCTGCGACAGCCGCAACAATACAAAATCTACAGCACCACCACCATGATCAACACCACCATTACCCCACCTATATGGGAGCCTCTAAATCCTACCCCTATATCTTGACCCCCTCGGAGCCGTACACGTTGTACCCCTCCCTATAAGTGGCTAGATTCTGGGTGCTGGGGGAGGGGCTGGGGCAGTGGGGGGGGCTAAGGTCCACCTTCATGCGCTTGGCTTCGGCCCGTGACTTGTAGCAGAACTCAACCAGGGCCACCAGCATGGCCAGGCCTAGGCCGCCCACAAGGATGTAGAAGACCCCAGCCACGTTGGACAGGCTCAGAGCCTGGGACGACTTGTCCTGAGGGAGAGGGGAGGGAGGGAGATGGGAGGCGAGGCCAAGCATTGGCAGAGAGAGAGGACGGATGTTGGAGAAGCGGTGGGTGGACGAGAAGACAAAGTAGCGAAGGAGGGTGAGACATTAAATGGGGAGGTTTGTGAAAAAGTGGAGCAGGACGGTGATGATAGAGAGTTAAGTTTGAGTGGGTGCATGAAGGAGAAAATGGTACGATGAAGAAGGGAGCGACAAGTTGGATTTAAGATGGAAGAAGGTGGACACAGAAATGGAGAATGGTCCAAGTTTGGGGGAAAATGTGGGGAAAAAGCAGACAGATAATAGGGAACAGTGAGTTAGGCACAGAGAAATGGAGACTGTCAGAAACAAAGAAAAAATGTGGTTTCATACAATTACAACGTCTATGCTACAGAAACTATGGTAACACTATCGGTTATCACATTATTGCATTCTACTTCTACAAGCTACTAAAACTACAACAGTTACTTCTGCCAACACATCAGTTACTACGCACATATACTACACAACTGTAACAATCAGTGCAACTACAGAACAGTCTACGTGTCGACAAGATTTACAGCCTTCAAATGAATGTAGCAAAAGTTTAAATTACTCATAAACAAACTGCAGTGCAGGTTTTAATCTGAGCGGTGATGACATTTTGCTCTACTTTTAATCAAATGTAAAGTCTCCAGTAGTTTGTACACTAAAAATTTAGAGCAACTCCCATATTCTATATTGTAAAAATTCAAAAAATCTTCCTATTGACCTGCAACCTTCATAGGTTTATAAAGATGACAATAGCTAACATTTTTAACTGGGGAGATTTGCAGTATAAATTAGCTGTTACACTTTAATGCGCAATAATACTAATATATTAAAGTAATGCTTGATGTCAAGCATCTGTCCTGTCTTAATTGTTTTCGAGGAAATTTCCTGAAAATAGCAGATATCTGGTTTCAATTATAAGAAAAATACAGGCAAAGTTGTGATATAGTTATATCAGTTAGCTTATAAGCAGTTGATTTCCATAAGAATGAACTGTTCTACATAAAGTAGACATCATAATTCATTCATTATTCATATCTTGTAAACATTAACCTCGACGTTGAATTCAATCCTCTCCTGTCAACAAATTTTTTTTTCCTGCATGTTCAGTTAAAAATGCTATCCACTATCAGTAATAATTTGAAACATATTAGCCTGCATAGTTAATTGAGTATATAATTGTTCCCAGACAGTTATTTCCAGGAAATGTGCAAGAAAATTGAGACATTTTGGACAAGTAAATGAAAGCATTACCAAAACTACTTAAAGCTATGGAAATAAAAAGATAGCCTTGTCCTGATTACTTTTCAAATCAAAAAGCAAGGTAGTAATTGCAACAAGTCACTACTGGTGATACTCAAGAAACAGTGCTATTCTCATTTGGTGGATGAGTTTTGGTTTACCAAGCATTGGCTGGCATATGGGATTAAAATGAGAACATGAAAGTGAAAATTGATTGATGATAAAATTCACATATTTCCAATACTAACTGTAATGAAGATGGGATTGCCACAGATTGCTACAGAAACTGAACAGGAATTTACATTTAATCTAGTGTTTAACTAGATAAATGTGCTCTATCAACAAAATAGGAATAATTAATAAAATACTGTAGGAAACCACTAAATGGACCATTAAGTCTAAAGTGGAGCAGGTTCAAGACAGACTAATTGAAGAAGTGTTTAAAATGCTACGGCTAAGACAGTAGTTGCAGTAATCTGGAGCGTATTCAGGATGAGTATTTCAGGCTAGCGTTCTGCGGGTCACAGCAGCGTGAGACTGACCTTACTTCCAGAGTCCTTGGGTCCACACTCTCCCTTGTCATACCACCATTTGTTTTTCAGTTTGTCTAAGACGCCTGCTTCGCTCAGTTTCAAAACTGCAAGGTTTACCGGGGTTCTTCGCGTGTAAAAATAACATAAATAACATCATAGGTCATGTTATTTTATGTTATTAGAGTATTTCACATTTGCATTGCATTGCTCAGTCACATAAAAACTTTTGCTCATTTCAAGTGACCTAGCGTGGATCCCACTGAGTACATGTGTGTATGCTCGTTGAGGAGGGGCTGGGGGGAGCGAGGAGCTACGGCGAGCTACAGACATATGAGTGGGACCCACCTTTGTCACTTTAGGTAACGCACCCATACTGCCCCAGCTGATCCTGCTAGGAACCAGAGGAAAATACTGCTAAGCCAGGACTATTGGCATCGGGCTAGCTCATGCTAATAGTGGGAGAGTGAGCTGCAGTGAGACAAGTTTGACTGTGAAGCTGAGGACAGACTTTTGGAGGCCAGAGAAAACACTCTTCTTTGGACTTTGATTGCTTTGTTTCCCTTATTAATACTGTCATTGCTTAGCAGTGTTCAGGTCTCTCATTTGGTTGGTTGGTCTAGATTGAGACATCTTTTGCATGAATCACTAAAGTGCATTCTGTTTATTTTGGTAATCCTTTGATATTTCATCTAGAAAGTTTTCACATATCTATTTCAGCATCGATTGGATGGATTGCCACAAAGATTTGCACAAACATGGCTCTCACATGACTAATTCAAATTACCTATGTAGTTCCCTGATACTACTACTGGCACCATCATAAGATTGAGTCCAATTCTGATTTTGAATGAAACATTTAAATTCTGATTCCAAACTCCTGAATTCTTTTGCCAGGTTGCGATTTTTGTAGAGTATACAACTGAAGTGTCCCTGTGCAATATCACTTTTTGTCGAATGATTCAGAATTGTATGAACTCTCAGTAATTCCATCCTCAGTCTACAGCAGAGCATTTCTTCTTATGATCAATCAAAAATAAATACGGGTCCAAAAGTGAAGACACCTGTGATCATTGACAACAAAGTGAGGAAACCTGTGATCTTTACAACTAAACTGAGTACAGGTTAGCTGACTTGCACAAAAACAGTTCTAATATGACATGTGGACACCAGAACTTATTCAGTTTTTGGACCTGGGTGCTGCTTCTAATGACTACCACAGTGAATGCATAGTCCCAGCACTGAAGCAGGGTATTGGAAGTGTGATGATATGGGGCCGCATGAGTGCCGAAGATGTTTGGGTGTAAATATATATATATGGTACCATGAGTGCCTGTAGATATTCCAAAATACTGGCTGACGCTGACTTAAATTCTGGAGAACTTTGGCAGAAAAAGAACATTCCAGCATGATTACAATCGAAAGTTCACTGCCAAAATCACACAAGAGTTTCCAAAGAAGGAAAAAAGTAAAAACTATAACCTAGCCAATGACGTTGTCTGACTTGAATCCAACAGAACACCTTTGGGGTGTTTTAAAGAAAAAAAGGCAGAGTTACGCCTCCTTCTGAAGAGCAGCCGTAAAATATAGTCTGAAGAATAGCATCTCTTCAGATGTTTGCTCAACACTGCTATCTTCATTGCCGAAGAAGACTGAGTCTGTCATTACAAATTAAGGTGGACATGTGCAGTACTGGAAAAATGCAAGATTTGCATCTCAGCAATGGAAGGTGCACTGCCTTTTGTTGCAATAAATTCCTCAAGCCTTTATTTTTTAATATAACAAATCTAAATTGATCTTTTTGAATTTTGCACAAGAGCAAACACCCTACTGTTCAACTTAGAAGTAAAGACAGTTTTAGAGAGCTGTTACACTTTTGAATCATTTGAAATTTAAGTGATATTGCACAAGGGTGTATAAACCAATACTGTAGCAATGCTAACAACAGGCCTCTAGGGATGGCAATCCAGTGCTTTGGTTTCCGACTAAATACCTCTAAAACTAATGAAGTTTTCATTAGCCTCAGATGTGTTCTATGTTAAGTGCTAATCAGAATATGTTAGCATGCAAACTTGCTATAATAATTAACAATAATTACCTGGCAAACATCAGCATGTTGGCATGCACTGAGCTCAAAGCACCACTGCGCCTAAATACAGCCTCATGGCTACAGCGTCTAATCTCGTTAAAATTTTATAACTAGTTTGATGGAGTGGTTTTACTACTTCTCCATTTATGAATATTCAAAAGGGTAATGGACTTAAAATACAACTTTGCTACAATATCCAGAAGACAAGGTAGGAATGTACGAGGCAAAAGTGCCTGATTCTGTAAGAAAGCTAAAGTAAAAAAATAATATTCTGAGTTGGACTGTTGAAATTAGACATTAGAACAGGAGATGTTAGAAACTTTATCCTGTAATTGTATTCTGCATTTATCAATTATTCATCCTCCCATCTGCCTCTAGTCAACCTGAGCCTTGAACAATCTCAGAGCTACAATTTCACTTTGGTCTGTTTTTAAAAACCTCTCATCTGATACGTACTTGCGCAACAGATTTTCAGTCCAAGGAGTGATAAAGTTCACTTTGGAGTCATTGCTGCTACTTGACTCTCCTTCACCTCCCAGAGCTGCCACCAGGGGGCAAATATTCCTGTCTTGACAGTAATTGTTCTCTTTATTTTTCCAGCTATCCATCACTTAAACCTCTTCCCATTACCTCTGTCCTTTCACGGGGGCATTACCAGATCAGTGCCAAGCACATTTGAAATGGTTATCATTATGAGATGTGCTTGATTTATCTTGGCAGGCGCTCACCCACAAAGGGGACATATTTTCCTGCAATACAATGAAAATGAACACATTTTTTTCTGTCTGATAATTTAATATAAAATTATATGACATATTGATCTTTTCAAGCAATGTGGTTCTGGGTCACTACGAGGTACAGCCAATTGATTCTTTCCAAAAAAAAAAAGCCATTATTTTTTGGAGGGTTTTCTTTAGCAGAAAGTAATCATCTCTTTATGTGTCTCAACAAGCTCAAGAGAACCTTTGTCAGTGTGTCTGGACCTTTTGTATGAAAAGGTGCACACCACTGACAACAGATGCAACGCCGGGCCTATTTTTCAAGCTGTCTCAGAAGATCTCAAGGTTTCCCTTTTGCCCTCCGTGTGCTTTGCTGTCTGACTCCTGGCTGGGGCAGATGCATGCGTTACGCTCCCAGGACGGGGGCCGTCGCGAGCTGCTCGGCTGGTGAGCGGCCCTCGTCGCCTAGTGGTGGGGAGGGCAGACAGAGAGGGCTAACCTTGGAATCCCCTCCCCCGCTGCCACATTCTCCTTTGTCATACCACCACTTGTTTTTCAATTTGTCCAACAGGCCCTGCTCGTTGAGTTTTAGCACGGCCAGGTTGACCGCGTTTCTTTAAGTGAAACAAGAAAACAAAAAAAAGAAAAAAAAAAGGAGGAACAGATAAGATAGTTTGGTCAGAGCAGAGGATGGAGGGACAAACAGACAAGATGGATAGGGGGGGGGACCACAGCCAGGAGGAGAAGGAAAAGGGAGAGGGGGGAGGAAATTAGGAGGGCAGGAGGAGGTTGAAGGCACAAAGGTGAGTTAGAGGGGACGGATGCACCCCAGGCAACGCTGTCTCTTACTACTTTGAAAAAAAAAAAAGTATTTCTGTTTATTTGAGATTTTCTGCTTTTGCAGCAATCCTAGCTGTGTTTCTTTCTGTGTGTCTCTCTCCTGCCCTAACAGAGGATGCTCCACGGTGAGTGTCAGATTGCTGGTATAAAGTGTGTTAACCAGGTCTCAGCAGCCTGCTGATGGTGCTCTTGTCCCCTCCTGCTGCTCCCTGCCTTCCTGCTAGTCTGTACAAGTGTGGTATTTGTGCGTTTGTGTGGCTCTGGTTTCCTACAGCCCTGCTGCTTACGCTGTTGAAAGGTCTGACCTCCAAACAAAATTCAGGGACACAGGACTAAATAGTCTGCATTCATGCAGTGTGTGCAAATGTATTCAGCTAAGATCTGTATATCCGGCTTGGTTTTATTCATTTTGTATGTTATTTCATTCAACTTGCTAGTATTTGCAATCCACTTGCAAAATATATCTATATTTTTTAGAGATGGCCTGTACACTTACTGCTACTGTCCAGAAGAGCTTCTACAAAACATAGTAGGAGCTGATTCTGCCAATATATTTCTTGCATGCCTCTCAGAAATTAATCTTGTCCTCCCCTCTGTTTTTCTTTGATACATCTCTGGAGTTTACAGCTGCCCATAAAAGACTTCCCTGTCACGTTCTTTTTTTTTTTTTGTCCTGCCACCACCCTCTGCTGACCGCTCTTTTGTTTGTGAGGAGCTGTAATCAGCCTGGCTAATCTCTACAAAAAGGTCACTGCAGTCGCTGCCCACTTGTTTGTTAGTCCGCCCCTTTTGTCTGCGCACCTGCCTATCAGGAAGTCCCATCTCATCTGAGAGACTGACAGGTAAGAGCTGGCTGACTGAGAGGTTGTCATTTCCAGACTGTGCAGGAAAGTGAAATAGCCAGTGCCACCAACGATATCAACGAATGCTATCTTTTTTTTAAATTTTTTTTTTTAGCAAGACAGGACTTTCTGTTCAATGTTTAACCCTCTGGACCCTAAATCCCTGCTGACAGGTTTGAAAGGCATGTTGCCCGTTTAAAAAAAAAAAGGCCCATTTTTAAACTTTTACAGTCCTGATCGCTGATGTGCTGATCCATTGAGAAATTAAACCAAATCTAAGATAAAAAAAAAACACAAAAAACAAAAAAAAGATAATCAAAATCAACTCATTCTATGTATTTAATTTAAAATTATACAAAAATAAACCCTTGATGTAAACAGATTTAGTCAAAAAAAAAAAAGAAAGAAAAAGCTAAAATGAAAAAAATCCTCAGCGCAACATTGAACCATTTTGTGACTCAGCTGAAACCAACAAACAGGCTGTGTTTACACAGAGCAAAAAGGAGACAAATAAGGATGCAAATAAAAAAAATGTAAATACTACAATATTTATGGTACGTAGAGTCATTTTTTTCAGTATTGCTAACACCTGTGGGCAATAATTTAAACGATTTCTGGCATCATAACTGTCAAATACTGCGCAGTAGACATTTCTGAGTTCCTTTATCCATGGTTGTGCTGTTTCTATAGAGGTGCAGGACTTTATATTGCAGTGAAAAATTATCCCACTTCTTGGGGTTCAGAGGGTTAAAGTCATTCTAATAGTTTTCAGAGTGATGATAATCAAGAGATCCAGAAAGAGAAACAGTGTTCTCTGGGGTGATCTCATCTACAGGCCGTGACTCATCAACAGAAGAGGTAAAAATGGATGAAAACAGTTCAAACATATCTGAGAATCATGACAATAACAGTCACATATCAACAGTCATGTAACAGATAGCTATACTTCAGAAAGCATAACAATGCTATTAATCATTTAATCATCAACGTATTCATGCTACTCATCAACAACATCAAATCAAATTAGCGCTGTGATCAGGTCGACCAGGAGGAGAGGCAGGCTCACCTGACGTGCACGCTCGCAGCCACACGTGTGCGTCTGAAGCGCTGGGTTTTCCGCCGATTGAGAGAAGCCAGAGACAACCGTGGATAGTCCCAGAATATGTTCAGGGTGGGCTTTTAAAAGGATCCTATCCACCTGCTGTCTGTCACTTTTCCCTCATAAACGGAAAAAACCTTTTCTTTCATAAACAACAACAGGTAAGCTATGTGGTGACGGGGGTCTCGAGGAACTTTGCACCACACACAGGGGAAAGTTACAGGACAGGATGTGAGGCTGAAGTGTTGTTTGTGTTTCGTCTTTCACATGGCGAATCTGAAACACTGACAGAGAGACGGAAGGAGAGAGGAGCGAGCAAGTGGTCCGGCTTTGCTGAATTTAGCAAATTATTTTCCCTCAGTAGGCACTTGTCACATTGTGAAGACAAAGCCTCCGTGCTGCTGTCACAGTCACCTGAAATATGAATTATTTGCTTTGCTAGTGTACCTCAATAAAACCTATTGGGACTGTGACTGTAAGCTGAAGTTAACAAGGCAGAGAAACAAGTGTCTGCTGAGAGAAAAACAAAACAAAATGACCAACTTCAGGGCGTGTATTCAGTCACTTTCTCATTCGTTTCCTCCATCCTCTGCTCTCTTTATTCAGCACAGTGTCGTGCGTCTTTAAAATCTGCAACTGTCATTTGGGTTATAATTTGCCATTGTTCAATTATCTACCAATTCAACCAGTTTTTCTTTTTGTTTGTGGCTTTGTATTTTTATGTGGGATCCTGTATTATGTTTACTTTCTATTCCCCCCATTGGTCAGGCCCCTCTGCTCCCTTTTTCTCACTATTTTGTTTCCTGCTCGTCTATAAATTCCCCCCTGCAGCTCTGGACGTAGCGGCAGCAGTCTGAGGTTCTGCCCCTCCTTATGGTCATATTCAGTTAATAAATCTCTCCTATAATCATCATCATCATCATCATCATTATCATAATCATCATCATGGAGGTACAAAGAGATGAGACAGCAGACAAATGGACAGAGTTACCTGGAAGGTGGCCCTGTGGAGAAAAACGGTGATTGAAACAACAACAGGAAAGAAAAGGAATGACACGTACGAGCATAAAGGAATTTATGGATGACAGTGAGACAAGACAAAGAAGTGGAGGCAACATGCTATAAATGAACAGAGAGAAGGTGAGGAAGAGTACAGCAATGAGAACCGGACAGAGTTACATTCAATACAAAGAAGAAAGCAAGAAAAAGAGAAAGAAATCAAGAAGCTGTGGATGAGGAAACACATAATTTGCACATTCAACACACACATCTACGCCGCTGCTGCTGGGTGAAAACATACATCTTTGCTTTTGCGGTTTGCATAAGAAATGAATAATCTGTCAGGGTTTAATCATTGTAAGCTAATTTCGACTCTAATACTTACGAGAAACAACCCAAATTGGTCAATTAAAAGCCAATTCTTCTGCTTTAAGTGATTTAGAAACTTTCACCTGACAGCAGTGACAGGTTGATCTAGAAGTGGTATAAAAGGCACAGCAGGGTAGGTGGAATATCGCAGCAATAGTACAGTATCAGCGTAGTTACTGTTTCCTATTGTTACACTATTCCACCCACCTTAACTGTGAGCCTTTCGGTGTAGCAATGCCATATCCTTTGGAGTCCAGGTTCCCCCCGACTTTCATGGTATCGCAGGGCTTCCGCTGCTCCGTGTATTCGTTCATGGTGGACTCCAGGAGAAAGGCGTACTTCCCCTTGGACTTTCGGACCCTTGCCACTCCTTCTGCTGTGGTCTTGGTGAAGACAGTCGGCTCGGCAGACTTCATGTAAGACCACATCTTCTCGTATACGGCTATTTTGGACCTCTGCAATGAAGAAAGGGTGAGAGGAGAAAGCAAAGGTTAGTTAGCAACGAATGGGCATTTTTTTTGTTCACTACAAGGGTAGATTTTCTCCAGGTGGTAGCTTTTTTTCATGGTCACGTAAGACACAATGAGAGTAAGGCAGCCATATCACTTCTAATTTTCCTACATCTCTGGCTCGATGTAGTTTGGAAAAAAACAGTTTGGATTGATGTGGTCTCACATGCAAACAACACAGAGATCTATTTTAGCTTTTTGTTCAGTTTGACTCACCCCAGTGGTAACAATTTGCATTCAAGTGACCCCATGAAGCAGGATTTATCCAATTTGACAAGAACTGTCACTGTAGCTCTTCACTCTTTGGCCTTTTGCACTTTCCTTTGTTCAACTGATTCTGAATAACACTGTTTGATATGCTACATTCCTACTGTTGAGCAATCCAATGAAAAAATCTAAATGAATGAACAATGAATCAGTCTTACTATGTGGTACTGTCCCTGTGACAAAAGAGCTCATTTTGTACGATTGTTCAAGAACTGTTGAAAATATAGTGAGCTGCACTGTTGTGCTGGTCATGTTGTGCCAATCCCACATATTCTGCAAATACCAAACAATTAATACAAAAAGAAATAAGTCCCCAACAAATGAACTATTGACTCACAAATTATATATTTGTGACCTATTTAAAAAGATTTCTATTTAAGGAATGAGTAGGAATGAATTGGTTTGTGACTGAGTGCCAAAGGATTTGTGGGCAATAAGAACCAAACAGAACAATGTCAGCCTTTCTTTCCTCAGCAAACAGTATGTTACTATAAACACATCCGTTGTGTGTGTCTACGTCTGGATGGCCATTAACACCTCACTGATGCCAACAGCATTGGCAGCTTGTCTAATAACAGATTTGATTATTCAAATCAACATATGGCCTTAACGGAGACATAAAGGGAAAAAAGACAGCTAGAAAAAAAAGAAAAAAAAACTATCCTACAACACTGAGATCTGTACAAAGTGGACTGTATTAGAACATTATTAAAATGTTTTTTCTTATTGTTGTTTTTTTTTTTCTTTTTCTACTGCATTTCATTTATTGCTACTGATCCCTATGATGTAGAGGAACCTGCTGTGGTTGATTTTCACTCTTATGGTCCCTGAATAAAACTGCACTGCTGATGGAGGGCTGTGTCTTCCATCTTCCATTTTGATCCTCTGGCATATAATGACATTTATAACCACATTTTAAATGTAACACTATGTCTCCCTTGACAAGTCAAGCATCAATCTTACTTTAAATGAGTTTAACACCAGAATACTGGCATACTAATCAGCTGTGCAGTTATGAATTCAGAGGGAGCTTTTTCGGAGGACATCTGTCTGGCATGATACAATACAATCGTATCGTTTTTGCGCGTTTACCATGTGTGTGTGTGTACATGCGGACTGATTTGTTTTTGTGTGCGTTTGAACAGTGTGTACTCAAGAGTGAAAATAACAAGCAGAGGAGTCAAACTGTCATCCTCCACAAGCATCCTCTTTCTTTCTTCTCTTTCTCTCCCGGTGATAAAGTGTTATTCTGTCGCTCTGCAAGCAACAAGCCCGAGCCCCGGCCACTGAAACCAGCACCCGGGGGATGGTGTGTGTGTCTGTGTGAGTGTGTTGCTGGTGCGTGACGGACACCTATGCCATAATAATGTCACTCACATCCAAGAGGACCAGTAGGCCCCTCCTCTCTCCTTTCTTTCTCTCTCTCTCTCTATTCTTTCTTTCCCATTTTCGTACTGTGTCTGCCAAAGTCTATCATAGACTCTCACCATCTCCTCCATCCATCCATCACTTTGAGACAGTAACGTTGATGATGTCTGTGGACGTAAGTGTACAAAGCGGCGTCTACCCTTGGAGGGATGGATGTGTGACAATACGGCGTGACTCTTTTCAGATTCTTCAACAATGAGTGTGTCTGTGAAGGAGGAAATTGACGCTACAAGTCACCTTCAGGCAACCACAATGCGGACACGGTCTTAAACATACGCAGATGCACGTGTGTGCTCGGTGATGGAAACGTCACTCAAACTTACATATACATCTGAGACGCACGCATATGTTGCTGAATGTGCATACGTGCATGCCTTTGTACGCACAAAATGCACACAAACACACACGCACAGACACAGACACACACACACACAAAGATAATTAATGGTGGTGGCGAATCCCCCTCAGCTGTGGGAGAGTAAATTGCTTTTTCACCCTCCACAGATTTCAGCCCGCTCATTATGTTGATGATGCCAGAGCCACTCACAGAAGCACAAACTGTCTGCCACAACCTCCCCCTCCCTCCTCTGCCTCCTCCATGTCCCCAAATACAAATACTAGCACACACATCTGCACAAACCACAACTGTAAATTGGTATATATATATATATATATATACGCACAACAGGGACAAGCATCCAGACGATTCAATGGAGCATGACGGTGTGACAGGGCAGATTCGTTGATGACATGAGTTCTTGCCAATTGCTGCAGCAAAAATGTGGTCTTCATCAGCATTATGTGTGTGTGTGTGTGTTTCTACTTTTAGAAGTATTTGTTTAATTGCAATCCACATGGGTGAGAGGGTCAAGGGGTGAGGCCACTCCAGGTCTCCTCTCTTCATGCTGCTCTGCTATTTTTTCCTGCTCGCTATTCATTTGTAATAGCTCCTTGTAGAATACTCTGCTACAGCTCCGTTCTCCTATTCTGTCTTCCTAGTCCAACTCTACTCTACTGCTCTTACTATTATGATTATTAGGGCTAATATTGGTTTACTTGACATGGCAAAACGACCTTGATAAACAAACATTGTTCTACTGCAATGCCAATGTAGGACAGTGTCCAGAAAAACCAGATCAGAATTTGAAATTGTTGCCTTTAATGCCCAAGCTCCATCATATTTTAAAGATATCTTTGTACCATATTGTCCTAATAGAGCACTTTGCTCTTAAAGTACAGGCTTACTTTTGGTTCTACAGTTTCTAAAAATTTAATCTGAGGCAGATTGTTGAGCTATCAAGCGCCTCTCCTGTGGAACAAGCTCCTAGTTTGGGTTCAGGAGGCAGACACAGTCTCTACATTTAAGATTATGCTTTTCTTTTTGGTAAAATTCATAGTTAGAGCTAGCTCAGTTGACCCTGAACCCTCCTTTAGTTATTATTCAAAAGGCCTGGACTGCTTGTGGATTTCCCATGATGCATTGGGAACTTCCTTTCCCCTCTTCTCAATTTAAGACTTCATACATTTATATATCATCATTGCATGTCACTAATTTTTCTTCTCTTGGTGATTTGTCCTCTCTGCAGATATCTTGAGCTCTGGAGCTGCATGTTTCTGACCTACAGTTAACAGCCTCACCAACCACCCCAGTGTTTATTGTCCTCTTATGTTCTCTAATTGTCTCTTTTCTCCCCTTCACCCTCACCCCAACTGGTCAAAGCAGATGACCACTCCCCCCAAACCTGGTTCTGCAGAAGGTTTCTTCCTGTTAAAAGAGATTGTTTTTCTTCCCACTGCCCCGAAAAGAGCTGCTTAACAGGAATGTTTGGATTAGGTGGGTTTCTGTCTATCACATAATATTGTAAGGTCTTTCCATTACTACGTATAGTGTCTTGAGATGACCTATGTTGTTAATTGATGTTCTATAAATATACCTGAAGTGAACTGAATTGAATATTTGAGAAAACCCCACACAGGCCACTGTTTCCTAGTACTATCTGCACTCATTTAGAATCTTGCTGTGAACTTTTTTCCTTTTTATAAAGGAATTACTTGAAAAGGGACACTTCAGCTTAACATCACCTCCAAAATTTAAGCCTCTTGCAATTCAAGATGAACAAGTGATCCATGCATTCCAGTCCTCCCACCATCGGTTTACGCTGTCATTAGTTGCTCTTCTTTGTCCCACCTACAGTCAAAGAAGCATTCTGCTGCTTGGATTTTGCCTATCTTCAATAAATTACACAATACTTGACATATTTGCTTCCTCTTATTGGATTAACTAAATGGTGAGCCAATACATTTCCTGCAGGACTTTTAAGGAGCCACAACTCCACAGTGTACCTTGAAAATTGTCTGACTCTTGTCAAAAACAATCTAGATGCAACCTCTAATGTCCAAATTATCATTAATATGGTATCCATAAGACTCAGTAGCACAATAACTTTGCTTAATGTTGTAAAAACCTGCCACCTCCCAAGGGATTAAATAAATGAGCAGAGCGTGTTGAGTCCATACCCTGAAGAACTCCTTAGTCGAGCCCGAGTCCAGTGTCCCGTAGGCTATCTCTGTTTGTTTGGCCAAGTCCTCTGCACTCTCTATAGGCGAGACCATCCTCTCCACGGTGAGGAAAGCAGCCAGATTGGCCGTGTAAGAGGAGATGATGATAAGAGTGAAGAACCACCACACGCCTCCAACAATACGTCCTGATAGGGACCTGCAGAGAAGAGAGGGGAAGGAGGGTGAGACAGAGGGGAGAGTGAGGAGTAAAAGGTGGAACGGTGAGGAAGATTAAGAAGGAAGAGATTTGAGCAAAGCAGGAGAGTTGGCAAGATTAAGGAGATGACAGAAAGAGATTACAGAGAGAAATTAGCAGGCGGATGAGTAGGTGAAGGGAATACGAGGATGAATGTTAAAGGGATGAAAACAACGTATGGGAGAGACAGAATGACAAAACAGAGAAGGAGACATAATTACAGTTCGTTCCCGAGTCAAACATATGCAACACAAAACACTGCAGTTTGACAAAGCATTTTCAACACCACTGTGTGCATGACTGTAAAACTGACAGTACTTGCCAAAGTAATTGTCTTTCAACCCCAAAACCAATTCAGCACTAACAATAACAGGCTACATGAAACAGATTGCAATCTGGGCGCTACTCCGTCTCTCTCTCAACCTCATTCTCTTTTTCCCTTTTCTCCATGTTTACTCTCTTTATCTACAGTACCAATTGTGAGCAGAAGCATCAGCGTAAGTGGCAATTCATTTTGTTTTGTTTTTGTTTTTTTTTTTCTTTACATGAACTTGTTTTCACTGAGCAAAAGGAGAGAGGGCAAGCGAGAGCAAGCATATTAGAGAACATAAGAGGGAGGTAGGAGGAGGTAGCCGAAATGTTAAGTTGCCTTTTAAGCGTGACAGTCGGCAAAAGACCTTGAAATTCTAATAGGCAGAAATGGCAACATAAAATATCTACGCTTTTGGAAGAACGAAGAGGAAAGTGTAGAGGGTATTTGGTGAGACACACACTTAGTCCCCCAGTTGTCCTTTATTACATCAAAATGTAAAAGAGCCATCACATTCAAATAGAATGAAAAGGAAAATGCTTCCTCTATCACACCACAAAGGCAAAAAAAAAAAAAAAAAAAAAGTAGTTCAAGGGAACATTTATGGTAAATATTAGCATGCCAATGTTCTTTGTGATTCTCAAAAAAGGTTTGAAAATGTTTTACTCTGACAAAGTTTCAGTCATGGAAATGTTTTCAAACCTGTCAAGTGACAACAATTTCTTTGGAAACTTGGCTGGTTTTATTTATTTACATCGTTTGTACATATTTTTATTTATATACACAACACTGACCCATCAAGTTTTAGTTACTTTTTGACACATCCAGCAGATGTGGACTCGTATGGATTCATTCTGGAGTCGTGTTTTTGGCCAACTAAATGTAAGAATGTAAGTCCAGTATAAGAAGAAGAAGCCTATATTTTCCACCAATAAATTATGGCACTATGAAATATTGATTTTTACAGTGTAGGATCAGTCCTGATAAGCCACCCCTGTAGCAAATTGAGTTAAGGGCCAAGCTCAGGGGACCCTCAACCTTCTGATTTATACTCAAGAGATTCAACACAAAATTCCCACATTTGGGGAATTCCTGGGCATCAGCAAACTGGAGCGCAACTGCCGAACCTCATGCTGAGTGAACCACCCTCTCGATCATGGTATCTCGTCTCTCAGGTAAGTAGCCGATAGTAATATTCACTCTCTTTTAGCTCTGATTTTGGTCTCTATCACTTCCCAAACAAAAATCTGGGCTGCTAAATTCTTTACTTGTTCCCTGGCCGGTCACTAACTGCATCCGTCTGTTGTTTGCTGCTGAGCAGGTAGCGTACTATCATTTCCACTATCGCTGCCCGTTGCTGCTGGAAACAACACTGCGAGGGCAGCGAGACTGAACCAGGAGCACTAAAGTTATGAGCCAAAAAGCAAAAGTGGTGAACTAAAACACATGAGCCGAAGTAAACAGAATTTGGTGCGGTTTGGGTTCCACAAGCAGATTTTTTTTAAATTTTTTTTTACACATAATCATTTGATCCGTTGTTATTATAAAAACATTGATTGTGGCCACTTTAACAAAATTTGGGTGATAATCACATCCTCTTAAATGCAATCACAAAATGTGGCCTAATATTTCCTGGACAAGGAGCTGTTTGGTGATACCGCCACTCTGAGTTATTTTTAGGAAGGGCCTGGTATTAAGGAGTGTGTGCTGAAGAGAGAGAACAGGAGTGGGAGAGCTGCGAGGTGCATTGACGCCTGACTCGGCATAAATTGTCACCTTTTGGAGCAACTCCACATTCTGCTCCTGTTCACAACCCAGCACACCTCCTAATCCTCACACACACACATATATACACCAAAACACACACTCACACACATCACACCACACACACATCACAAATATGAATTGATAGTGTTGTCCTTGAGACATTGATCTGTTTGCCTGAATTAATGAACCTGGCGTATACTGTGAAAGATTCTCCTGAGAAAGAGTTGTTAGGTTTTGTTTTTACACTTATTAGGAGACAATAGAAAGTTTGTTTTCCCCCAATCGTGTACAACTTTCAGGTGAATTTACAGCGACAAATGTGCAGGGTGGAAAAGAGAGACTCATAATCTCATAATATTATAATATCAGCATTAATATTACTGCTCATGTTTGTCCCCAAGCTCAGTAAACAGGGTCAGGGCAAGTTACAGGGATTAGGAAAGAGGAGGAAGAAGAGGAGGAAGGAATATGGATGGCATATTTAGAAACTCATTTTCATATGTTCTACAGGGTCTCCTGCAGAGGCCAAACGGGACGTGTGATCTGATTGGTTAGGTGGTAAACGAGCTGTGACAGCATTTTAATCTGGCCAGATGGAGTGACTCTGTGATGTGAACGAACATCCACACAGCAAAGGAAGAGGGAATAAAGGCTCAGCAAGGCAGGAGAGGAGGACAAGAGAGCAGACAGAGAGATACAGAGAAAAGAGCAATACACTTCTACACATGTTCAGTATGTTTACAACTATTATAATATACCAAAATGTGGCAAAATGTACAGCTTTCTTCACCTGAACCTGTTGGGCCTGAGAGCTGGGACATGCATTGATTTGTGTGTTTAGGATTGTCACTCTACATGACTAAACATGTAAGGAATCCGCTGAAGTATAAGTTACACTTTATTGATCATCGAAGCAAAATTTGTCCTCTGTAACTGACCCATTCCAAATACTGGGAGCATTTGGCAGCCACAGCGTGCTGCCTGGGGACCAACTCTATTTCTGTGGCTGGTGCTTCAGACGTGACTAATGACAGGAGAGTTTTGGTAAAACTTGACTTTAACCTTTTCCTGTTTTGCATTCATAAGCATTACATAAACATTCAATGAATGAAATACATACAGAGTGTAGCTGTATGCAACATTTATTGTGTTTGGCAACTCCTCCTGTGGGCTGGTGTTGAGCAGATAATGAATGTGGGAACATGTGATGAATATAGTAAAACACAGTTCTAATAATACAAAGTATATCTGCACTGGACAAGTTATGCAGTAATAAGCATGTTTTATACCCTTAAAGCACCATTATCCATCCATCCATCCATTATCTGTACACCGTTTAATCCTCACTAGGGTCGTGGGGGGCTGGAGTCTATCCCAGCTGACTCAGGGTGAAGGCAGGGGACACCCTGGACAGGTCTCCAGTCTATCACAGGGCTACACTTAGAGACAGACAACCAAGCACACTCACATTCACACCTACGGACAATTTAGAATCACCAATTAACCTCAGCATTTCTGGTTTGAATGGGAGGAAGCCGGAGAACCCAGAGAGAACCCACGCTGCACGGGGAGAACATGCAAACTCCACACAGAAAGATCCTGTTGCCCCCACCGGGATGCGAACCGGCGACCTTCTTGCTGCGAGGCAATGGTGCTAACCACTGAACCACCTTGCAGCCTTAAAGCACCATTATGTTTATGTTAAACTATCTAATATAAAGTCCTATGAAACATGTGTTTAAGGTTTATATATTGCTTAGGGATGCTAAATACGGGGGGTTAAAAGTGAGAGATGTTAGTCTTATCAATATCTAAAATGAATGTGTTTTAATGCAGGAGAGAACTCAACCAGCAGAAGGAAATATATCAAGCGTGTACACACTATTTTTAATCATCAGTTGGACTGACTCTGAGAGAGGACAGACTCTGTAGTGGGAAAGCGCGCAAACTTTTTGAATTAACCAACTGTTCATTAGTGAAGATAAACTTATTTAGTGGTCCTAGTTTTGAGTTGGTAGAGAGAAGTCACATTTACACTGTGGTTCGATGCATCAACACAAAACTATGAGTAGTTCTTCTGTGTGTGTTTGTACATAAATTCAAACAGTAAAACTAAACCTTATAAAATGTAACTGTTTATATAACCCAAAAGACATTATTTAGATCTGTTACACAACCCCTCAGTGTAAAGAAAGGAATCTAGTTTCACAACGATTCTGAAGTCAGACTTCCGGATGACACCGAAGAACAATCACAAGTCTTCAAAGAACATTTATACAATCTGTTGTCTTTTTTTTTTTTTTTTTTGCATTAGAATTGTCATCTCAAACTGAATAAATGCTGTATTCATCAACACCACGCTGCATCTCCAGCTGCTTCCTTGACGGATGAATTTCTTTGGTCCATAAATTTACCTGAGGCTGCCGAATGCACACAGTGCATTTTTATAACCAATTTATTTACAATAGAGACAAGATTACATTAAACTTGTATAGCTGCCTAAAATGTATCACCCTCGACATGCCCACAAATGAATGTAAGGTAGAAAAATAAACCTGCTTCTATTTTGTCAGTTTCAGTAGGGGTGAAAGTTTCAGAGCAAAAACGGATGTTACCGAGTACAGTTAGTCAGTCTCAGTGTGACAGCAGGGTCTAATGCTGAGTTTGTAGTTTTAATACTTGAGCTTATATAATACTTCTATCTTGCAACAGACTGTGTTAACACTTGCTTGAAACTAATTAACCTTCTTTTGCAATGAAAACATGTAAACAAAACCCAGTTTCAGCTTAATCTAATTAGATTTTCATTTTTTTATGAAACTCAGCAATACCGTGAGTAAGATGGCATAGGTGTACTGTTATCAGAGTGCACCGAAACAACACT